AGATAGGATACTACATCCAAGGGAGTGTATGAGAGAGTGGGACGGAAATGTATGCAAGCAAAAACATCTCCTCCCTGTCTCTTATCACTTCTCTGGGCTCCTGCCATTTTTTTGGATTCCCCTCAGAGACTTTTCTTTGATACTGTAAACATTTCAAGAAGTCTGCTCTGCCCATTCTTTCCTCCATATTCTCTCTCTCTAAACATCATGCTTCATTTTGATTTGTTTTCTTTCAGTAAAGCCAGAAGGTCATGAATTCATTTTAAATCACAGGAATGAACAAATGTGTAAATGTTGATGAAGGTATCAAACTGCTGCATCCACTTCGAAAGCTCATTTGTAGGTATTAAAACAAACAACAAAGTTTAAAAGAAAACAGGGATGCAGAACAGCTTTCTTATCTGTGGAATAATGTACCTACAATATTCAAAGAACAATTTTACACCATAACTAATATTGGCTGCCACAGTAATTGAAGAGTCCCGCTATCAATAACCTCATATTGTGATGGTGAACTAGATGAGTGCCCAACCTGCAATCCAAAACCCACTTTTTTATTGCCAAGTGCCAACTCTGCAATTAAACCTGGATACTGAGATTTTAGTGTAGAAAAAACAGCTCATACATTAACATCTTCCGTATTAAAAGAAAAACAACACGTCGTAAGTTCACCATCACTGCATAGCTTACACTTAACAGTATACACAACTAGTACTACTCTTTGAACTGAAAATGCTTGTTAAACAAACCTTATAAAATTATATGTTTAATACATGCAGTAGGAAAGAATTTTAATAATTATTCAATAAATAATGCCTACTGTATAAAATGCTGAATAGCCAGTATAAAACTTTGGTTTTGCTGGCTTCTGCTACAATAGAAAAACTTTAAAAAGTATGCCCGATGTGATTTACAGGAGTAATTTTGTACTAAATATACAACCGTCACCTACTTTGTTCACTAATACTACAATGCTTTCTTTATGTAACTTTAAATAACTTCACTTGGAAAAACTGAAGTGATGTAAAGTGCAGCTGAAGTAGTCTCATTCAACACAAGGACAGTCTATGTGGTGTCATTCCTGCAGGCTGTAAACGAGGTTAGCCCTGTGCTGAAAATATTAACTTCATAATGCAGTAATGTCTTACGTCTTGGTGTCAGGGTTCTTGCAACATCAAGGAAGAGGACACAGCTGAGGATCCCATAGCAAACCAAAAAGCCACCAAGTAGAAGAAACACTGAAGTGCCATAAAGCCCACTCTACAGGGTCTACTGGCCCTTAACTTTTACAAACCATTTTATTAACCTCAGTTTCTGGGTTCTTTTGTCCCAGAAAATGTAAAACAGCACATCACAGGAAGAGGCAAGTGAGAAGAAACAATGCCAGGTGTCCTTAGCGATGAAAATTGACAGCAAGGAGACTCATAAATGTCAAATAATATAGAATAGCAACTATATAATAAAAGTAGTACTGGAGTAAGAATTACAGTTCTGAGATCCTAAACTAGGAGAATAACCCAGTTATTCTGTGACTCATATTCTAGCTTTGTATGATGATCATATAATATAACAGTCTTTATTTGTTTTATTTTCTTAGTACTGGGGATTGACCCAGGGCTTCACTCATGCTAGGCAAGCACACAACATTTTCTTTATTGTAGTTTGGTAAGTCTCTATTATTTTTAAAAATAGAATTTTAACATTTCTGCTTGATCATAAAATGAACAGATGTACAGAACTTGGAAAATCCTAAAAGTGTAAAGCAAATTGTAACGGCTTATAATTCACTGCCCAGAGAGAGGCACAACTGACATCTTCATGGATTTTCTTTCAAGTGTCTTCATTTATCAGCATGTGCATGTACTTTTCTCTGTAACTTTTGTTAACCTGCCATTATCTGTGGCATTTTCCAACTCAAAAGGTCTTTATAGAACTACTTTAATGGCTCTAAATACCATAACTTATTCTCCTACGATTGCAGATTTTGGTCGGTATAAAAGATTTCATAAAGTATTCCACCGTGTATACATGATAAGCTATTATTAAAATGTTATAGTTTAAAAGTAAATTTTCAATAGAACAACTTAACAATTAGGAAGGAAAAGATTCAAAGGTTGTAGTTTGTAAAACTAAGTTATCAGATACAATTCTTAAGAACAAAAGGCATTTAGAGAACTAAATCTCTGAGTAAATTTTGGAAAATGCTCATTTGTAGTGATTTCTGACGCTAGCAATATGATTAAGAGAATTCAGGATTACTGTTACAAAATTACAACCATGGGGGCTGGGGATTTAGCTCAGCGGCAAAAGCGCCTGCCTGGCAAGCGCAAGGTCGTGAGTTCGGTTCCCGGTACCGGAGAAAAACCAAAAAAAAAAAAAAAAAAAAAAAATTACAACCATGCTAATAAAGCAGTGCTCAGTAAAGATTCATCAGTCATTCTGCTCGTGCATTCAATAAGCAAGTATTTATTGGATACCTACTATTTGACAGGCACTATGCTAGGCCACGTTTATACCAGTACTGAGGCTTCTTTATAAAATATCCTAGAAAATAAGGTAGCAGCATAAAACACTTCAATAAAATGTGAAAAAAAAAAATCATACAGAATTCCCCAGTCCCTACTCCTTCACTGCAGTTCTTACGCAGCATCTGTTTCTTCCACTGAATGAAGAGCACTTGGGCAGGAGAGACTGTCACCATCTCTGTATTTCCAGTTCTTGGCATAAAAGAGAATCCACAACAGATTTGCTGAGTAACTACTTTCCATATTTTGGACAGTGTTGGGGAATGAACTCAGAGTCTTGTGCTGCACTCCCTCAGCTCCTGAATAACTACATTTATAATCCAGTTTTTCACTCCTAATCTAAAAACATGCATGCTTATACAAATGAAAGAATGTACATACTGTTTTGATAATGCTGTTTTCACTCTATTTCCATGTTCATACCAGTCTCCACAATCTTACTGGCTGTATAGTATTCCCTGAGTTAATCTAACTTAGAAAACAATTTGCTTTATGTTATCTTTAAAGGTTATCTCAAGTGCATTTACACTGTACAGCTAATGCTGCAGCAAACATGTCTAGCTTTGTTAGTCTTACAGACTTATTTCTCAACAACTGGGCTCATTTCCAAACAAAAACAATCTACAATAAAAGTTAACATAGCCGGGTTTGGTGGCACAGACTTGTAATCCCAGCACTTGGGAGGTTGAGGTAGGAGGATCGTTGCAAGTTCGAGACCAGCCTTGGCTACAAAGTGAGCTCAAGGCCAGCCTGAACTGCAGAGTGAGACCCTGCCTCAAAAAGACAAACAAACAAAAAAGAAGTTAACCTAATAAAAAAAGATTACCCAAAAGTAGAATTTTGAAAGATAAAGAAATCACAATTCTATTTTACCAATTCAACTGTTTCCAGCAAGCAAATTAATTATTATGAAATGTGACTGTCCAACCTAAACCCTTTAAGAGGATTGCTCCATATTTAGTGAAGATACTTTTGATGACGGGCAGTAAAAATTCCAAAGCTGCAAATAAGATATCTAACAGAACTTCAACCCTTTTGAAAGGGCCACACACACCCTACTCTTCTAATTCCTTGGAGGCACAAAGCTTGCTCAGTCTCTCAGGCTGCACAAATGTAAGGGACTCCCGCCTTCTTAAAATGCCCTCTTTTCTTCCACTTACAGATTCTAGAGGAAGAGCAATCCACCTGGCTACATCCGATCCTTCAAGCCTTGACCACAGACAGAGGTAGCTTATGGCAAAGCCAAATGCATTTTCAAAATAGGAAGCTGGTTAATGTACATATTTCTTTAACAAACTGTGATGAGCACCTACTACAGTACTGCTCTGTGCGGCATGACCCTTCATTAATCACTGAAATCATGAACCTAGCTTCCTTTGTTGGGCGTGGGGTGAAAGAAAGAGAAGAAAAACAGTTAACTATGTTGTAATTTAACTGTAGTCCAAGTATGATTACCAACAATTACCGCTAAGAAGACAATATAATCTATAAAAGGTAACTTCATTGTAGGGAAGAAAGGGAGCCCTTCAGGCTAGCCGAGATATGCTCTATATGTAATTTTTAAAAGAAACATGCTATTCAATTTGCATTGTGTCTATGTCAAATTTTTCATGAATGCCAAGGAAGGTATACCTGTGTATAATGCTGTATTGTTTGCTTCACAGGATTTTCCGTATGCACACACACATACACATAAAATCGGAACTCACCAGATAGATATAATTAACATAATAACAATTGTTATATAATAACATCTATGTTTTATATATATAACAATTATCTACAGCAAAAATTCCATAGGTGTTACTTAGTATATGGAACCTTTCAGAAGTTCTATTCCACATGACACAAAAGCGCGTGCCATGACAAAGACCTCCAAATACAACCTACAAAGACACGTTTCTGAAAAACGCTCCTAAAGCCAAGTTCACAGCTGGCACTTGTGGCACACTCAAGCCACTGCCGAGGCAGCTGTCACAGGCCAATCACACACACCCAAGAGTGCCAGCATGCCACCTAAGGAAGGCGAGCCGATGATCAGCGCGCAAATCCCCACCGAATAAAGAAAAGCCCTAAATCCCCACGCTGGAGAGCACAATGCCTGTGTACCACCTACAAAGCGCCCTAGAAAAGTGAAAGAGGCTGGCGATTTAAAAGCAATTAATTACCAGCTTACAGCAATACAGTCAACGAGGGTTTCTTTGGGGGGGTTGTTTGTGGGGTTTTTTTTTTGTGTGTGTGTGTGTTTTTTGAGCATTCACGAGAAGGGAGCCGCACCATTCAATTCCCGAGTAGGCAGTAAGCGCCCGGCTTCCCCATCCTGCGGGGAGGGAAAAGCACCACGCAGACCCAGCAGCAACCCCTCCCGGGGCGGCGCGCGCAGGCTGCAGCGGACTCTGCTCCCAGGCCTCCTCCCGCCCCTTCCCGGCCGCCGCCTCCCTCCGCGCCCGCCGCGGCCGCCTCGCGCTCGCCTACCTTCGCCTTGCCGGCCTCCAGCTTCTTCTGCCTCTCCTCGTCCTCCATGGCCTCTGCGGGGCGGGCGGGTGGGAGACAGAGGGGGCGGGGTGGGAAGGAAAGGTCGGTTCACACGCAGGTAGGACGGCACGCTCCGCGACCCGGGGAGCAGGGCCGGGCCGGGCCGGGCCGGCGCTCCGCCCGCCTGGGGTGGAACCACTCTCCGCGCTCACTGGCGAATCGTCCTCGTCCGCGAGAGCCGCGCCGTCGCCGTCGCCGTCACCGTCACTGCCGCCATCTTCGTCTCCACGTAAACACACGCGGGACGGGAGGGTGGGGGGGTCACTCCGCGCAGGCGCGCGAGCCCCGCGGCCGGGCAGGTGCGCGCGGCCCCG